ATGTGGTATTTTTCTTTATATTTAATTATTATATAGGGAGAACTTTTTTTAGCTAATTTTCAAAAATACTATATTTGATCTCTAATTTAAAGTATATCTCTTTTCTTGGAACATCAAGTATTCTTCGCCCTGCCCTGCATCAAAAGGAAAAAAACAACTTAACACGCTCAAACTAATCCAGATTGAATTGAGATAAGACTTTTCCAAGTAAAAACTCTGCTATCAATTGAGTTGCATTTTTAGAACTTCAACTTAAGATCTCTGATTAAAAAGGTTAAATAGGTCTCTCATTTTACTAAAAATTTAAAATCATTTTTTGCAGTAGAGGAGTAATGATATGGGACTGAAGCATGAAACGAAAGAAAGAGACATGAGATAATTCAGATTCCATACGATACAAACCATCCATTTACTCCATGCAATTCTGCATGTGAGTGGTTCCCTTCTACCCTTCCTTGCTTCTCTATTTCTCTGTCAACAATATGTGTACATATATGTGTGTTTAATAAATATTAATTTAAAAAATTGAACAAAAAAGGGGCCAGCATGTGTGAAAAACAAACACAGGTCGCTTAATTCAACTACTCATACAAATAAAATAAAATAAAAAGATAGTTTATGCATCTTGTTCATTTAATATTTTATTTATTGAGAAGTTTAATTTAAAAATAATACTAAATTTCAATATTGATGACATAAATATCCTTGTTATAGTAGTTTCAAGGGTTTTGATTATGTAATGTATTTGATATGTAATAATACAATGCATGCATGATCACATGTTAAGTTGGAGTGCTTCGTAACACATACAGCATATTCTACCACATGTATTACTATATTTTATTCATCGAAAGTTTCCTTTATATGTAAAACTTAAAACTTTATAGGATTCTACTACTTGTATTACTATATGTTATTCATTGAAATGTATCCATATGACTAATTAAAAATTTTAAAAAGAAGATTAATTATATGTTCATTATTGTATAAAAATTACTTGTCATTTTTCTAAAATAATACTCCTCTTTAAATGATGGTATAAATGTGAGAGATAAATATGTGAAAAAAACAGCGAATTTAATCCGGGCAATGTGGGAAAATGTTAAGTGAGATAGATACCGAGATTAAGGTCTTATATTTAGGATCAAAATAAATCTCTTAACTAGATCTTATATTAAGATAAGAAGGGTAATATATTTCATTGTAATAATCGTTGGCCTTTTTTTTTTTTTTGGCAAAACCATATATAGACTCTTGATTCTTACTATCTCGCTAATTATTTGTTTTAACTGATTTTGATTTTCAAGAATAAAAGAAGAAAAACAAAAAAAGTTGATCATTCAATAGCATGTAAATCCAATCAATTCGAGGTTCAAGTTGGCCTAACTTTTGCGGACCCATCCAATGATGTTGATATAGAATTGAATATCGATGATGATGATGGTGATGGCTTGTGTAAGTGGGTCATGGTGTACTATCACAGAGGTTAGGGCTTTATCACTGGTGATAAATGCGCATACATATGAGCAATTGAGCATAGTTAAATGGGATATTCCATTATTTACAGTTAAATATCCCGCTGGTTACTTGCATCAACTGACAAAGGATTAATATTTTAATACTTGGTTTAATCAAATTTTCAAGTTTAGTTTTGGATATACTATAGTAATTAAGTTGATCTTTACATAAGGAATATTTGAGAGAAATATTTTTTGTTTGGGGAGATTATTAGATTTCTTATATTAAATATGTTTAAAAATAGTATACTTCATCAAAATATTTAAACTATTTGATTAAATACTTTTTAAGTTTGTATACTTGTGATCTATTTTTTTATTTTTAAATGTAAATTTTTTTATATTTTAATATTCTCCCTGTTATTATTATTATTTTTTTATTTTTTTCTTCATTTCGCCTGGACTTGCACTTTTTGTTTTGTTTGAGAGACTTCAGCTTTATTTAATTTTTCTTCTTCTCCTTCTCTCTTTCTTATCTTCTTTTTTTTAATCTCTTGTTGTTTCTTTTTTTATCTCTCATTCTCTCTCTCTATTTTTTTGATCACCGATAGAATGACTTTAATATCATATTAAATTTTTTATATTAAAATATATTTAAAGATAATATACTCTGCCAAAATAGTTTAAAATTACTTGGTTATATATTTTTTAAGTTTATATACTTATGATTTATCTTTTAATTTTTGTATAGAACTTTTTTATGTTCTAATAAGAATAATGTTGAAATCTTATATAAGAAATTAATCACTACAAATTTTATAAATAATTGAACTAAGCTCATTAGCAAAACAAATTTGTGTTGTCGATGACCTTGTATTGTTAATGATATTAATTCAATTATTAATAGATCTTGGGGACACCGTTTACGGCTCGTGCGTGATTGGTTCCATTTGTTAACCTTCTTTTGCAATTTGCACCAAGCAAGGTTCCATTGCATGTACTTATTTCCCCACTTTTCTCTTTATTCCTTTCCATTTTTGAACCTACTATATTAATCATTTAACATTTAATTCCATGTAGTCATGAAATTATAAAGGTTAATCTCAGGTCAATTTAATAATTTACAGTAAAGTCAAATATAATTTTAAAGAAAGTATTAAATTCTCAATACTGATAATCATCTTAAATCATATATATATATGTGTGTTGTGTGTGTGTGTGGTGGCTTAAACATCAGAATAAATTGGGCAGCAACTAATCATGTCATATATATTGTCATCAATGTAAGGTTTTTCCATGTATTTTTAAAAGTGATAGCTCAACTCATTTTCAGATTCCGTATAATAATATTAAACATGATCTCTATCCAGAGATAAATTTTAAAATTTGATATTTATTACTTGAAAAATATTTTAGCATGGTTAAAGATGAAGCTGGTATTTAGACTGGACGTCATCAAATGAGCAAGGACAGCTAAAATACATTTATATCAGGGAATATACAATAAACAATGAGAAAATTTAATAATAATATAAGATGATTGTAAAATTTTATAAGTCAATATTACAGTTAAAAAAAAATTCTATTATGAAGTTTTCATTTAAATATAAGTATACATCCTTTCATGGTCTTTTACATACTCCTTTCACTCTCTAGTACAAGTAAAGTTAACTAATTTTGTATTTATTAAGAATTCTAGTTATATCTTTAAAGTGGTTGAAAATGTAACTTTAAAATTTTATCATATTTTGCAATTAATAACAGTGATAATTATGTTCTATGTGTTTAAAAGATAGTGAATAAATAAGAGGTAAAATTTTAAAAAAATGATTGCTCTAATATTAAGGATAATTTTTTTAAAAAAAGTGCTTTATATAAGAATTAGAAGGAGTACTTTAGTTGTAAACACTGCCTTAAACAACTTTTATTACTTGGGGAATAATTTTCCTTTTTGACTTTTTATTTTTAATTCAAAACATTTTTTATAATTATTTTAAATAAATGCAGTGCCAACAAATCCACAAATGTCTCCCGTGTTATTGAACAGAACCCATGGAATTGGAAAGGCGGTTCCATGATAGTGATTTAATGTGATTAAAAGTGAAATTATTAACATAAATAAACGATTGAGAATCAATAATACCTGCACATTTTTTAGTAGAGCGACAAAAATACCCATTAAATGGTTGGTGAAGAGCAAGCATTAGCATAAAGTGAAAAAATGGAAAAATATTTAATTTGTTACCAAAGTTTGGCATGAAAGTGACCAAGTCGTTAACTTGCCACAACGTCTATTAATTTTTTATGTTAATGCTTATTGTGCTTATCATTTGTCAATAATTGCTGACATGAACTAAAAGTAATAAATACTCCACAATGTGATTACCTAGGAGCATGATAAGCCTAAGTGAGAAATTGATAGAAGTATCCATAGCGTTAATTTAATAGGTGCACTACTAG